AGACATATTTTAGTGGGATGTATAGAGTTATCATATAATTCAATGCATTCTATGGTTGTCAGCAGATATGTAAACTTCACTCTAATGAGGATACAGAATAGTCCAATCAGCCCAGAAATCTTCTTCATTGTACTTCCTAATAGATGTGCAGTCCTCCATAGCAACTAATGTCCTCATTTATCAACATATGAGAGCTTTACAGGTTGTGGCTTTTATTTCTTGCATTGTTTGTTTTAATAATCAGACTTTTTAAATTTTAATGAGATGAAGTGAGCTCAGGTGAACTGAGGAGCTGGAGTTGAAATTGTGAGTTATGGCAAGAATGTTAACTGAAAATAAGTCAGTTAATTGTTTACTGAAATAGCTGTAGAAAGAGCAGAAACTAGAGAAGGGTCCATCTCACCCATGACCTAGAAAGAGTCAGATGGATTAGCATAGTCATGGGGTTCATTTGCTGTCAGAGCTCTTAGTTAGCAAGAGGACCCTCTAATGTTATGATTTTGAAGGCCAGAGAGGGGGTTAATAGAAAGGCCTAGGAGTGGGAAAGCTCTGAGTCAGATTGGAAGGAAGTCTCCTGTTCTTCTACATAGGTGACCTCAGATGTGCCTTTGAGAATGCAGACGTGTAAGAATGTGGCCAACTACAGAAAACACTCAATAACTAACGTTTTTAATTTGTCTTAATACTATTACTGGCTTTTACTTTACCGTTTGAATTATACAATGGACCTATCTCTAGAAACAACTGTGGTCTCAGCTTACTGTGGTTTGCACAAAGTTGATACAGTATGACTTTGCTGAAAATGTTAAGATTTTTGAAAAAGTGGTCAACCGACCTATAAGTTGCAGTGTTGTTGACAAATATTTACAGGTACACTTGCGACAACCCACATTGCATTCCATGTTAGGCTCACAGCTGTCTTTTGGTCATACTAAAGAAGCCACAGTGAGTCTTCTCAGCATGTTTGCCAGGGTCACGGCTCTTCCTTGTCTCTAGTAGATTCAGTGTTGCCTTGTCGGTCTGTGGCCTATAGCAGTTTGATGGTTGTCCCCACTGCAGTTCTTCCATTCTCCTTCAAGTCCTTCCAGTTACTTCAGTTAGTGTCCTTCCGTGCAGTGGTTTAAGTTGGCTCTTTGTTTTATTTAATAGTTATCCATTTGCCTTGAGTATTTTCCTTTTAAGCCCTTGACATATTTATAATTGCATTAGTACTCTTTTCTGTCAAGACCAATATCTAGATCATTTTTGTTCTGTTTCTTTTTATTTCTCAATCATGAGAAACAAATACTACGTTTTCTGCTTTACGTATCATTGTTGATTGCATAGTTGGTATTGATCGACAAATTATAGTCTGGCTTTTATCATTTTTCTTTAAAGAACTTGGTCTTTATTCCAGAGCGTTAAATACCCAAGGGGTCGTCTTTCTGTCTTTATTTGCTTTTATTCTTTATTAATGTGTGTCTGATTTGAAGTTTTTAAAACTTAGTCCAAGAATGTAGTTTTATAGATCTAACTAAGAAGCTCACTCTAAATCTGGAGCAAATTCTCCAATTTCTGAGCTATTAGTCCTCTTTGTAAGGACTAGTAATACAGGTTGGATATTGTACAAACTCACTAAAAAAGTGATAGGTATTTAGATTTACACCCAAACATATACATCATTAATTATCCTTTCTTCAAAAACCATGGTGGGAATAGAAAAATCTTGGCACTGTAGGGATTCTCTACTTCTGCAAACATTAAATCATTTTTAAAGTTTATGCACTTTGTAGACTTTTCTAATATAAAACCCTTACTCTGAAGATTTTTTTAGTAATTATGAAATTTGAGACAGCAGAGATCTTGAAAGGAAGCAAAAGGAATAAGTCATGCAAATTTTCTAAAATTCAAATCTCACCTACTTATTGGAGAAGATAGTAGAGTCCTTCATAACTCAGAAGGAAGAGAATCCAACCCTGACATGCTGTGGCTAGTGAAGCCATCATCAGAGTACCCTCATAGGGACTCCTGGAGAGTGAGGTCTACCAACATGAAGTAAATCAAGAAAATGAATGCCTTACCCGTGTGTGTGTGTGTGTGTGTGTGTATGTGTGTGTGTGTGTGTGTGCGAGAGAGAGACAGAGACAGAGAGAGAGAGGGGGGTGGGAGGAGAAGAGGAGGAAGAGAGAAGAAGAAAAGGAGGGAGGAAAAGAGGAGAAGGAGGAAGAGGAGAAGAAGAAAATTATTACATGTAGAGCAGAGCAGAAAGGACTTAGATATAGTAAAGAGTGCCAGGAAAGCAGGAATTCAGTAGATCTAAGAAACAATTCATTACCATCAGACAAAGGAGGCAAGAGCTTAAAGAGAGGTAGCATTCTATCCTAATTTTGCTCATGTAGAAAACAAGAAATGTAGAAAAAAGGCTTAAAAATCAGTAAAACATGAAATATGCTTTTATCATAGTAAAAATATTTAGATTTTTCTGAGAGATATAATACTGATGAGTGAGGATGAAGAAACCTGAGAGTTAAAAAACTTATTTCACTCAGTCACACAAAAAAAAAAACTTTGAGTCTTGATCCAGACCTGAGAGACTCTAACAAGGATTCATGCTTAATTTACAAATGTAAGCATTTGTAGAGGAGCAATTGCTCTATAAAAATGATTGCACATCTTGCAGTGCATAAGATACATTTGCATTTTATTTTAATGTGAAAAAAACGCTCTGGGAAGATTTAAAGATGAACAAGTTAGGTGAATAGAGAATGGGACATCAACTAGTACTGACAGATTCATACCAGACGGACACTCCGCAGACTTTCAAGATTCACTGTACACCGTATGCAGAGCTAGGAACATTCTTTGAAATCAGGTACAGATTGATATTTTCCTTTGCCAGTGACAGATGGAACTGTGCCACCGATATGGATCACTGACTCAATTTGAAGCTTTTGATGGATGACAGATGTGTCAAACTGATTTGAAGACTGGAGAGACAAAAATCTATGAACTGAAACAATTTTGTGGACTACATAGTAGTAAATAAAATTTATATAACTAATCATTTCTCCTCTTTAGCTAATGAGTGTCTAATCTTAAACATTTTAGTTGAGAGTTTTCTAAAATAAAATGTTCATCTCTCCTTGTAAACATGTGGTGATAACCCTTAAAATTTTATTTTTCTTCTAGGTGGTATTTGTCTTCATGTTGATAATTGTAGAAAATTTTAAAAAACACATTTCACTATATTAACATATTCAAATAAACTCACCTATGTTACAAATCTTGTTTAGCTCTTTATAGAATTTTATGATAGTAATAACATGTGGAGTGATAAAATCTAAAATCTGACCTCTTTGTGTAGCCTTGGAAGTAGCTATCTGTGAAGTTGGCAAAAATTGCTAAGAGCAGATAAAGTATGGCTAATTGAGTAGCTGATCTTTCCAGATCTGCTGTTTACATTCCAAATCTAAATGAATCAGGATGTCCATAATCCTTTAGTAGCTCAGACATCCTACCCAAGCAACACACTTAACAGTCCTTTTGCTTCCAAGTGTTTTAGCTCATTCTCCCTACAAATGGATAGAGTGGGAATGGCCTGACTTCACACTCATTGTAAAAATTAAACGGACCAAGAACATATTATATAAACCTATGCTAGGTAGTAGGGATCCAGTAAGTGCTATTTTTCCTTCTCCAGTGATTCTCTCCTTCATAATGACAAGCAATTCTAAATTCATGAGGCATACACTGTTATCTTTCTGTTGTCTCTATAACAAAATGCTTGAGATAAACAGCTTAAAGAGATAATCTTTGTTTTGGCTCACAGATTTGGAGATTTTGACCTGTGGTTACATGATTCTGCTGCCATTGGGCCTGTGGTGAGGTTGGACATCAGTGGCAGGAAATATATAGCAGAGGAAATAGCAAAAGGGAACAAGAGGAAGGACAGGGATTAAATACTTCCAGACCTGCCAGCCCGCCTTCCGCCAGCTATCCCCAATCAGAAGTGTGCTTTATCAGTTAAGGTGTTTGCCCATCCAGTTGGGTTGGTGACCCACACACCATCCACCAAATCTATTTCATGCCTGTTTCCTCTTCTCCTTAAAGAGAAATAGAAAACTTATCCAAAGATCTTAAACACATATTTTTATTCATTACTTATCTGAACTGATGCGATTGAGCGTCTGCGGACAAAGTGAGAATAGTTCTATTTCCTGGCTTTAGGAATGAAGAATAAGCAAAACTCGCCAATGCTAGACTCCGTCTCAGTTATCTGGAATTCTGCCTTGTTCTGTCTTCCTCATATAGAAATGGTTAACTGATGGTGAAAGTCTAATCAAAAACTGTGTTTTGTAGTAGTATTGAGCACATGTATGCACTGCCTCTCCATCAAAACTGAGAAAGAGAAGGAAACCTATGAAAATTTTTCTTTTAAAAATCATTTTATTGAGTGCATTTGATCTCTATGTAAAACTTCATTTAATCAAGAAATAAGATGGGACAGTGTCTTCACTGAGGTTTTGATCAATTTTTTTCTGAATGTATTATGTTTTATTTACTAAACAGCTATGAAACTTTTAGTACATTTTACTATAGGCTGTGGTGAATCAATATCTTAGTCTTCTGTTTACCTGTTCCTACATCCAAGCCTCTACTTTCCTTTGCAAAAGAAAAACATTTATATGAGTAAATATGTAAGATTATTAAATGAAATATATTTTATGGTATTTAGATGATATACTAAAACACACAAATGTTCATGCATGCATAAATAATGTCAAATAAAACCCACACATAGTGACGTGTATATATTGAAATATAGATATGCATGTAATAATAAACAAATATTTCCTACCCTTCCAGTCATTAATATGCTCATTGATATCTACATTGTTTTTTGTTGGAGACTTTCCTACTTAGTTTTCATCTTATTCATATCATAATCAAACTTAGAAATTTTTACTCTAAAAATGCACTCCAAGTCCTATAGATTTTCCATTTCCTTATTTTCTGTCTAGAAATTGACATTGAGCGCTGTGTACGAGAGTCGGTCAATCTGTTTTGTTGGACTCCTAAAAGTGCTACATACAGACAGCATGCTCAGCCTCCAAAACCGACTTCTGAAAGCATTGCAGTCCGCAGCTCAGCGCCCTACTTCTCTGTTGACTGTACAGATCCTCCAAAGACAGACCTGGTATGTATTAGCAGACACCAGCTACAAAGCCTAAAACGTGGATTGATGGTATGGCCTAGTATCATTATTGCTCATAATAGTGTCACTTATATTCTTTTAATGTAGCTATTTCCCAATATAGGATTGTGTTCACATGGCTATGTCAGAAGACCTCTGTCTCCTTTGATGTTCTATTGAGGAAGATTGCTTGGACATATTCTTCTGATGACAAGCTTTATTTTATTTTCCACATAGCATGCTAAACAGTAATACACCACCTTGTTATATGAGATTACAAAAGCAAAAGAAAAACATTTTAATACAGTAGTGTTAAGAGTTGTTGCTATAATAGGAATTTATTTGTTTGTAACAAAATAAATAATGTTTGGGAAACTATCCCATTATATTTCTCAATATTGGCCTTCTTATTAAATAAACTTACAAATTTGTTCAGCCTACCTGTTATTTACAACTTATGTGTTCCAAAGATCCCAATTTTATATTATCTTAATTATTTTCATGAAGCTGAATTTTAGTTAAGATACATGCATTGTCTTAGTGATAATCGGGTACATTTAATAGTGTAAAATAGAATGTTTTCACATTTCCAGTTGCAGCCAAATTGTATTTAACAACAGACAGGAACCTTGGTGACAAAGAGGAGACAGCTCCATGGGTATATGTGAGAACAGCTATAAGAAGTTAATAGAGGATCTTGAGAGATAAGAATAAGAACCTATACTAGGAAATAAATATTTTCACTAGTCCAGAAGTAGAGTAGGCCTCCCCAGAGGAGGATTGGCATTTATTGGGATAAAAGGTAAATATTTATTTTAAAAATACTGTTTAAATTTTGTTTATACGCATCAATGTTTTGCCGGCTGTCATGTGCATGGACCACATGTATGCCTCGTGCCCTCAGAGGTCAGGAGAGTGTGTCTGATCCCTTGCAACTGGAATTGAACCCCAGTTATCTGAAAGAACAGGTGCTTCAAACTGTTGAGCATCTCCACAGCCCCTATATAAAATACTCTACATCTGAAACTTTGTCCTCTTTTCCATGTTTTTGAAGGTTCAAATTTAAATGTTAATGTAAAGGAAAGCAGATACAAAAAATGTTTGCTGCATATTCATTAAAATTAGGGTAATCATAATTTAGATTCATAGAATGCCATACTGTTATGTTAATTTTTCCCTTTCTTTTTCATTTTTGTTGTTGTTGTTGAGATAAGGCCTTCCTATGTGTCCCCAGCTGACCTGGAAATGTTATGTAGTGCAGGCTGGCTTAAAACTCACAGAGATTCTCCTGTCTCTACATTCTAGGTAGTGGGATTAAAGTCCTACAGCCCCATCCCTAACTTGTGTTAGATGCTTTAAAATTCTCTTATAGTAGAAAAAAAAAACATGTATACTGTTCCATAGAGTTGGCTTCAATGTCAACCCTGCTTTTTTGTTGTTGTTGTTGTTGTATATCACTGAATAATCCACAGGCTCTCCACTTACCTGTTAATAAGTGCTAACACATGTGTTATGTACCTTATTTCCATGACAAATTACAGAGACAAATTGGAATTAAAATGTTTTTGGCTTGCAGTTTCAAAGGTGTCAGACTGTTATGTCAGGAGCTATGCAGTGGAACAGAGTCATTCACATGATAAGCCAGAAAGCAGGGAGGGGGGAATACAGAAAGAGGTCAGGCAAGACACAGCCCCAGGGACACAGCCCTGGGGACTTCCTTCTTCCACCTGGGCCCTGCCTCTGCTCTCACCACCTTTCACAATGGCAGCATGCTTTGAGCCCAGCAGTGGTTTAATTCGGTCACTAGTTCAGGAAGCTCCTGATCTGCTCTCCTCTGGGAATGTCACGAACACACCAAGCAGTGTGCTTCACTCTCTTCTGTGCATTTCTGAGTCCAGTTAAGTTGGCAGGATTATCACGTCATGATACCTGTGCTTAGCAAAGTCATTTTACAAATAATGTATGAATTATCCACTCAGTACATGATACATGGTAAGAATCTACGCTAGTAACAGTTAATTTTACCTGCTTGGTAATTCAGGAATAAAAATGCCAGCACTCTAAACTGTATGGGACTTGGTGACAGGAACCTTTGAGTGTAAATCGTGTGTGATGAGGTAGTGTTCTGGAATTCCATCTCCTTCCCTGTGTCAGCAGCAGCACTGTCACTTGACATTCCAAAGGGGCAGTCAGGCAGGCAGGGGACGAACTGGATACTGGTTTTCAAGAGAAGGAATCTTTCTGGCAGTTTTACCCTAGTAATTTCAGTTTAAAATTTCACTTTGACCTTTACTTCTTGCTTTTAATGCCGTTTTGATTTTCAAGCCACTAAAGAATTGCCAAAAGAATTATTCAATCTCCTGCCAAGATCTCTCCCATCCAGTTTTTTCCTTATATAGCAAAAAAGAAAAAAAAAAGTCTGCTTCAGAATTTGGGTCATAGTTTACTAATAGCAGAAAACAGTGGGTAAAGGTATGAACTTTTGATGAACAGGATGAAACAGATTTTCCTTTTGGGGTGGGGAGGGTATGAATGCAGAAATAGAGGGCAACCTTGGGTGGTGTTCTATTTTTGAGACATACTCTTTTGGTGGGCCTGGGGTTCGCTGGGTTTTCTCCAAGGAAGCTAGCCAGATGTCCTCCTGTGTCCACATCCCCAGTGCAGGGGCCACAGGTGCACAGCCTCTGCCTAGCTCTTGAGGAACCGGTGTTGGATCCGTTCTTCAGTATGTGGGGCCTAAGCCTTTGCCAGCTGCGCTTTCCCAGCCATAGGTTGAAATGGATTTTAAATGAACATGCTTTTTAGGAAACGATGGTGGTTAACTTTAGCTATTTTTGTATCTCTTGGACAAATTTGATCAGCATATGAATTTTTTATGAACAGTATAACTTAATTATATGCAATCTGTGAAAAAACAAGAATTATTATTCTTTTTCACAATAGCTCAATTAAGAACACATGTAGTAGTCCAAGATCTTAAAAACTAAGTTTTGTTTTATTCACATAGTGGCATTATACTATGTCATAAGTAAAACAGAACACTCACTGAGTGGTCTTCAACTTTATTAAAAATGCTTTATATGCTAATTAAATAATTATTTAGGCTCTTTCAAACTTAAATTTTATGATGGAATAGTTTCTAAACATCAAATATGAACACTAGTGTATAAATTTTAATCTCAATTATAAACTTTATATAATTTGAACAATTAAAAAATAGTCTTATGGGGCTTTATAGATTGCAGGTACTTGGGTAAATTTTCTTCCCCTAGACTAATCTCTAAAGCATTTTTATTCCCCATTTGAGAGTTGGAACAAGCTAATTAATGCAGTATAACTTACAAACTGCTATTTTATCAGTAGTAAAAAATATATTGTACCCTTGATAATTCAAGTATATATATATATATTATTAATCTACCTCATAGTAAGTACTCTAAAGTCATAGTTTCTTGAGATTTCACTATTTTTTTTAATTTTACTCTGAACATTGACATTTACAGTAGTCACTTGTGTACTTTTAAATAAGATGGCTGGTTCACAGAACACAAATACATATATATATGTATATATGTGTACATATATTGCTAACATAATATTAAGAGTGAATATTGACCTAAAGTCTGACTAAACTTTATTTGATTGGGAGCATTTCGCTTTTCATCTATCCTCGTTCCTGTGTGTTTTCTGTATTCCTAGCTGCTGTCAGTCCTTTGTGAGGTAAATAGTGGGAAGTGTTTCCTCCCACTTTGTATGCTGTCTTTACCTTCTGCTCAGAGTAGAGGTGTAAGTCACCATGTCTTCTTGATGAGTTGGTCCCTTGATCATTGGATGGCACACTTTGTGTCTCATGTTAAATTTTTTTATCCTAAAGTCTGTTGTACCGAGTGTGAGTACAGCTACTCCTTTTTGCTTCAGGTTTCCATTTGCTTGGAATATCATTTTCCCTCCTTTATATCTCTGTGTCTATAGAGGTGATGTAAATTTCCTGAATGTGTGTTGTTGTGTTTAGGTTATATTTTTAAATATATTGGAACAGTCTGTATCCTTTAATTGAAGAGTTCAATCCATTTTCATTAATTATTATTGATAGATAAGAACTTACTCCTGTCTGTTATTATCTTGGTTTGAGATACTTTTTAATGTCTTCCCTGTTCATCTTTGTGGTTTGATAGTGCTTGATTCTTTTTATTTTATTTTGTGTGTATATCTATTCTTCTCACAGTTTTTAAATTCTTCCATGATGGTGCCTGTTTTACACTGATCTTGGCCAAAATGCCAAGAATCAATCATCTCATTTATTTACTACTAAGTCCCTAATATAGAGATGCTGCCATTTTAATATAAAATGGTTTACATTCTAAGTGTTTGGTTTAACATGAGGCCTGACCTCTACATACCTCGGGACCTATAAGACTCTCTTTCTAAGCAATGAATTATTCATAAATTTTGTATATATTATTCAGTTCAAACAGAAAAGCAATAAAACAAAAAGTAAGACCACTTAACTCTTTGAAATAAGGAATAATTTTAAAAGTAAAAGTGGGAAATTCTGCTTTAATTTTATGACAAGAAAAATCTAGCATCTAATGAGCCTATTATGTAATGCATTATATTTCAGATTGAATGTCTTCTTGGTGGATTGTTTGCTTGATCAATAGCAACTGACCATCTTTATCTTTCTTGACAAGAATTAGTTTTAATTATTTTGTCAGGTATTAGAATAACAATGTCTTCTCATTTCTTTGCTTGGAATAGATGTTCTAATGTGGTCTACTAGTCTGCATCCTTTTTTTAAATTTAAATTAGAAACAAACTTGTTTTACATGGTAATCCCAGTTCCCTCTCCCTCCCCTCCTCCGCTGCCCCCTACTGGCCCTCTATCCCTTCCCCTTTCTGCTCCCCAGAGAGGGTGAGCCCTTCCATTGAGGAAAGGCCTAGACCCTCTCCCGTGTGCATAGGCTGAGAGGGTATCCCTCTATGTACTCTCAAAGTCCATTCAT